CGCAGAGCTACATCTCTTTAGTGGGAAAAATGAAATACAAATCTTTACCCCGATTCACCTTCCTCCTTCCTGAAACGTTAGACTGCCTTACAGAGCTCTATCTTCCTATATCACCCTATCTCTCTCTCCCTCTCTTCCTCTACCTTGCTTAATCTTATCTACCAGAGGAGCATCTGAGTTATTGGTAATCTCTAAACCCTACTTACAAACGAAAAAACAAATCTATTCCAGAGGATGTGACATCTTGAGCCATTTTTAAAGCTCGATACCGAATCATATTTGTAGTGGATTGCCGTTGAGGCAAATATATATTTGTCACAACAGTTGATGGCATTACTTTTATTTATTATGAGTAGTAGACGTCGACGCTAACAATAGTTCGATAATAAGAAGTCATGGGTCCCCCAAAGAGTCCCAAAGAGTTGCCTCGATCCCACAGACAAAAAATGGTATTCCTTGGAGAGCCACTCCATGACGATTATGGCTGCAACCGAAGAGAAATTCTTGATTACTCCTTATTCTGAGCGGGATTGTGGTCATCCGAACGGCTTGGGAGGATAAGAACTTAGTCACCTTAGGCCGTTCAGAGTGATTTAAAGATAGACAGTTGCATTTTTCCCTTAATGCATTGGATGAGCCCCACGATGACATTGAGTTTCGCCTAGTCCTGTGCCCCAAAATGTTCTCTCATTCAGGATAGATTTCAGTTTCGACCTACACTAACCCTAACCGGGTCTGCGGTTAACGTGACAGTCGAGTCTGGGAGCGAATATATTTTGGGAGGCAGGGTTTTAGGAAAATTTAACTATCACTTCTTCATCCCATTATGCAACCTAAGATACTTACTGCTCGGATAAAATTCGTTCGTGCTAGTCATGTAACCGACTAATCTAGTAAAATTATCCTTTGTAATTGTATTCTAACGATATGATAAAAAAACTCCAAAAATTAGTTCGACGTTCCTCATTCCTTACCTCATTTAAGTCTTAGATGTACTCTTCTCCTCTTAGAAGATCTGTGTTGAAGAGTTCTTGACAATGGGGAAATATTCTGACCTTGTGTTATAATGAAGCTATTTCAAGTCCCAGGCTCCTAGGTACAATAATCAACTACTAATATATTCATCCAAAAATGA